TTGACGAGGCTGCTCGTCGGACTCATCGGCGCCTTGCGCTTCTTGCTGGCTTCGCTCTGCTGCGCGTAGAGCTTGATGATGAGCGCGTGGAGACGCTTGCAGAGCGTGCGCGGGTTGCGGTACTCGTCCATAGAGTGGGCGCGGGAGTAGAGCGCGAGCTCGGCGCGGCGGGCGATGCCCGAGATGCGCGCGTCGATCGTGCCGTACTTGGTCTTCAACACCATGAGAACGTGAAAGAGTACAAAGCGTCGCGCAGAGGCGTCGACGTCCGACTGCCACTTGTGGCGCAAGGTGGCGTCGAGCGGCGATGCATCCATGATGGCGACGCTTGTGGAATGAACCGTTGAGTTGCACGACTGCACACCACAGCGTGCGTGGCCTGCCCAAAGCGGCTGCGTACCACCGTTGCTTCAACATATGGTTTTTAACGTGTTTTGATTGGTGGGTGGGAATCGAATACGTGCACGTGATTGGTGAAAAGGAGACTGGCTTGACGCGGAGACTGCCACGTGTAGAGGCTGTGCGCCCTCTCCCAGCTCTCCCGTACATACTGGGCGTCATATACTGCGTTGCTTTTGACGGCGCAGTCTGAACTATGCGCTGGGAAAGAAAGCACGCTCGAGGAAAAGGCCTCGCTCGAGGACCTCGGGCGATACAAACAACAAGTGTAGTGGAAAGGGTCCTGTCTGTGAACTGTGGGGGCCTGCAGCGTCGCGTCCCACGAGTTCAAAAGCGCTCGACCGCCGCAATTTCAGTCGAAACGGTCCGGTGTGAAAATGGACGGTCGGTGCGAAGCCGCCGTTGACCGTCCATTTCTGTATCATGCCACCCTTCCTTCCTCTCGGCCATGCAACTGACGTTGCTGTATGAGGCCATTCGCCCTCGAACGTATTAGTATGCAGCTGGAGGAGAGGTGAGGTAGCAGCGTCGACTTGCGTGGCCTGATGGAATGCAACGCATCTCGAAGATAAAATATGACAGCCGGTTGGGCACGCTTGTTGTCGACATGAGGGCATGACACCACTGCTTGCGCCATGTGTGGCAGCGGTACGATGGAGGAGTACTGCACGACTAGCCAACTTGATCGACGAGGAAGTTTGCTGCTAGAGCGGTTCGGGGCAACATATATTGGCGCTGCAGGACGCTATGGCCAGGACAGTACGTGTGGACCTCGGTCATCACTCCCACAAGAGACCGACCACCAAGTCGTAGTTCGCAAAATCGCCCTGCGTCATTTCTCTCTGTCGAAAACGCGCATCTTGGTCCACAAGCGCCCAATACGGTAGCCCGGCCAATCCGAGATCTGAGATCTGAGAGTGGCGAACTACTTACTACCAGCGTCGCAGAGCCAAGATAGCCACAATTAGATGTCTGCAGTGTCTGGTACGAGTTTGCATAAGAACACCACGACACTGCCATGCGCAGAGATGACGGGGAGCCTTGTCGTCCAACATACTAGTATTTGAATAATGGATACTAGCATTCTCTAGTCCCAAAAGGGCGCGCTTGGCTCAGCTTCATTGCCTCAGAGGTCGATAGCCTCTTGAATGCACCGATACCAGTTCGCGGAATCGTCTGGAGCCTGGCCTGAAACCTTGCAACTGTGCAACTGGACGTTTGTAGCATGGATAGAACATGCAAGACTTGGTGGCGCCTTTTGAAACTCAGATTTCCAGTCCCACCCGGAGTGGAAGATCGCAACATGTCGATCTCACTTGGTAAGTAATAAGAAGTGCAATGCAAGCGGGCGCGATTACGTCGAACGTCGGATATCTCCAGAGGACGTCCCATACAGTGTAATCGCGCGGGCTACATGCCTTTTTGAGCTGGAAATTCACGAAATAAGATCTAATTTGTCATCGTATTCTCGAGGCATGAACCTATGCATGCATCTCCCATGTTTCGATAAGACTCTACCACGGGTTGTATGAAGCACTGTCATCGGGGCTCTCAACATGGACCCCCGAGCGTTTGCAGATCCAGAGACGACGTATCTTTGGACTGTATCAGGCATCACCGCCTACAGCCTACGACGATGCTGACACCTGACGAGATCTTTGCCGACCTCGAAAATGCGAGAGAGATCGTGGTCTGAGAACACTGCACCAATAGAAGACGGGTCTTGTGGCTCATTTTCCATTGCTCCTCGCAATACTCGAATGTGGTTCCGCGCGCGATTGCTCCTCTCGGCGACATTGTTAGCTACTACTGCTGCTACAGATCGCATGGCGCTGTCTTCAAGGCATCAACACGCCTGTCGCGCTCACATCGTCCGGAGACGTCGCTTGCCTCTCGGTCGACGGCGTCAACTGCCAATGGACGGCATCGGCGTCAGCCTGTCTGGACCGAGCCCGGTCGCTTCCGAGCGTCATCAAACCGCTGGTCTGCGGCCTCGCGCACAAGGTGCACTGGGGCATCACAGGCTATGATACACCAACGCATTGGTGCGCGCAGGCCAAGCTCGCGCTCTCGGCGACGTTGGAATCTGCTACCGATGCTGCTACCGATACCACGGCGTGGCGCTGTCTTCAAGGCATCAACACGCCTGTCGCGCTCACGTCGACCGGTGACGTCGACTTGCCCTCTCGGTCGACGGCGTCAACTGCCAATGGACGCATCGGCGTCAGCCTGTCTGGACCGAGCCCGGTCGCTTCCGAGCGTCATCAAACCGCTGGTCTG